ACGAAAATTAACAAACGAACACAGACGCAACAGTATATTAGTGTATCTGATACTTCAAATTTTGTTAATAAATGTTTCAGTATGTGTGATACTCGTCAAGCCTGTGATTTTAAGTTGTTATTGTAAAGCATGTTCTATAATGATATACAGTAACTGTGTTGGATTTATAAATATGAAAGATTAGATGTAAGAAAGAACAAAACTGAAATATTTTGTTAAGAATTTTTATTGATAACAACAAATATTTTCATTGTGATTTATTTGTTATTGAACTCTTCGAAATATAAGAATTGTATATCAACTTTTTTTGGTTGTAAATTATGTTCATTTGTGAAAATTACATTTGACGTTTTGAAGAACTAATAAGTTTAAATGTTAATGTGTACATAAATCAAAACATTATCAAGATACCAAAATAGAATTTTTGATTTGTCAGCAAATGTTTAAATTAATATACATTTATTCATTATAAAGCAACATTACGCTAGTATATTCTTGTACATTTCACATATCATTCTAATTTCTAATTCCAGACCTTTACTTTCAATACTACTGACCTTTAATTCTGCCAGTTTTAAGAAAGGACTGGTTGCTTAGTCATCAACCACTTACCACCCTCTTCTGTAATACATACAATGACCTTTTGTATTTCCCAAAAATAAGCCTTTCTGATGTCTTGAACTTCGAAAACGTAGATATTATGATCTATAAAAGGAGGATCAGCCTTTGGCCGAGAATTACATGACATTCTTTACACGTGAGGGGTTTAGTGAAACATTCCTTTTCTGGTCAGCTTCAAGTTTCAAGCCTAATATATAGTGCTACAAAAGTTATGTATTCATGATGAATAGTTGTATGGTATACATTTTGAATGGAAACTATGAACTACCAATATTACTAAGTTTTTATACATAAAGTGATGGTTATGGAATACAACTAAATATCAATGTGAAAACTATAAAGTAATAATATGTTGAGACATGTTGAAAATTTGTTAATATTTCTATAAAAATGGTAAGAATATAATTTTCTACAATAGTAATGATTAAACATAACTATTTACGTTGAACATCTAAAACTAAACTTTAGTGAAGGAAATCAGTTTATAAAGGTAAACACGAAACTATTGTATATTATTTGGATATTTAAATAAGCGTCCTTTTCAGGGAAGTAGATGTTACACAATATAAAAATCATACAAATGAATTAGCAATAAGCGTTTTACTTATAAGACATCAGGAAATGCAATAATGCTATAAATGAAAACTATAAACATAAGTTGAAATCTGTATATGCAGTCTTATGTGACTATAGCAACACGATAGCCTAAAGTAACAGCATCTGGTTTTGTAAAACATGTGTAATACAGATAAATATATAATCAAGAACTATAAAGTTGACCATAAGGATAATAACTAGATATTAAAATAGCAGATTGAATGTAAATTTTACTTAGAAAACAAAATTGTAATGGTGATAAAGATTGCAAACTTTCCAGAACTGATAATTGCAAAGTGGATATTAATTTTGCTACTTTCATTGTTGCTATAAAGTTGGTGACACGTTGAGACACAATGATATATCTTGATCTACATCACCCTTTGGTGGTTT